AGCATTATGTTGCGTTCTTAAAATATGTTCGCTTTAGTCAGAAGATTAAATAAAGTTGCAATTAACGAAATTGTTTTATTTTTCCAAAATTGTTTTCCCTCGAATAATACTTTCAAACGTCAAAAAAGAAATTGACAGATTGATTTTTTTAGGTTGGTAGCAACGTAGATTTGTTCATAATATTGCTAGCATTGAAAATGTCAATTTTTATTCTCCGTTTGTGTATCTAATTAGTCAAGAGTCCCGTCTCTTATTTTATATACTCTTTGGTAGCTAACCTTCAACTTCAATTTAATCAATCAAGTCAATCTCTTATCAATCGTTATAAATCCTTCAATTGTAATTTTCTTTGTTGTTTTAATAGAACCAATGTTTAATTAATGTTCCAAATAGTGCGATTTAGTGTAGAATCAACTGTTTAATATAATAATGTCAGGTGATTACGACTTTTCCTTCTAATTAGCTGTGCTGTACTAGTGATGAAGGTTTTAAATATCTCTTCGTAACTTACCACTTCAACACTGTTAATAAAATTAATTATTATCAGTGACTTGTTAAACTTGCGATCGATATTGGCTTATTACATTTGTCAATACTTAATTATTTTCAAAGGTAGTAGAACGGATAGATCTCGCTCCCCGTCACGAGATAATACGGCCCGCCGCAGAGACAAGCATCAGGAATTAAATAAATCTGATATGTCTAGTGTAATGAATCAGATGATGATCACAAATATGTACTCTCAAGGTCTGTCTTTTTTTGTTTTGAATAATTTAAATACTAAATAAGGTCATCAATACATTTGGTTTTGTTATTCAAAGGCCAGCAAAAATCTTACATTTTATGTATTCTGTTATATCCGTTTATTGAAAAGAAAAGATGTAAATGCTGAAATAGAAGAGTCCCTTTGGTTTATGAAAAACAAAATAATGAAACTAAGATAGGAGGTATTTACTATGTAACATTGGTTATAGGAAATATGCTTTTGGGTGGTGGAATGTATGGAAATATGATTATGCCAAATGCCATTATGGCTGGAGGAATGATGCAGCCAGCTCCAATGGAAATAATGACTGGCACTGGATTGGAAATGATTCCTCAGCCGACCATGGACATGTCAGTTATTGGTAACCAAGGTTTAGGAGCGAGTGGAACACCAATAGACATGAATATGATGAATATGGGAAGTGTCATGGTGGACCCTTCCATGCTTCCTATGTACTCAAATATAACTACAGATGTGGCACAAGAAAAGAAGGAAATAGTGTTAAAACATTGTAAACTGTCTCCACCTGTGCCAGGTACCCCTCAGCCACCAAGAAGGGAGCGTCCTCTTGGCTGCCGCACAATTTTTGTTGGTGGATTACCTGACAAAATACGTGAAAGTGTGCTAAGAGAAATATTTGAACCTTATGGTAGAATACAGATTTTGAGATTATCTAAGAAAAACTTTTGTCATATTCGCTTTGATAGGGAAAGTTGTGTGGATGCAGCTATGGCAATTTCAGGATATAAAGTAAAATTAACAACCAGAGATAAGGACAAAGATGATAAAGATATTGATCAAGATGATGAACATTCTCATGCTACTAATGGTTGGTTACATGTAGACTATGCCTTGGTAAGAATTTCACTATGTTGTTAAATCATATTTATTATTTTTAACCTCCTATTAGATTTCTGTACAAGTTCTCTGAATGAAAACCCATAACAGAAATGTCCAACATTTTTTTTACTGTGTCTTATAGAGTAGAGATGATCAAAATGAATATGAGAGGAGACAAAGACAAGCAGTTCGTGCACAACAGGCACAAATGCAACTCACATCACATCCTGAAGCTAATCGAGCAATGACTTACAAGAGATCACCATCACCTGTTAGAATTCAACAATTCACAAATGCCGCTATTGTCCAGCTGTCAGAGAAAATCAAGAGTGAGGAATACTTTTCTATTTCACTTCCGGTATGTTGATATATACCACATAAGCAAACTTCAAAACACTAACCAAAGTACAAAATAAGTAAAACTAATTAAAATTTTAATATTTATTGTTATAGACCCTCATAGCTTGGTTGGAACGAGGAGAATGTTCAAAGAAGTATTCAAATCAATTCTACACAATGATACAAGCTACCAATTCTCACATTCGTAGACTGTACAGTGAGAAAATACAATCTGAAGAGGAATTACAAGAATGTAAGGAGAGAACAAAGAGGAATATACAGAATATTATTGATCAACGTAAGTACACTATAAAAACTCAACATTATTTCAATTCTCATTGTTTGAAAGGATGGAAAAGGTGTAGTATTTACAATTAGATTATATTTACTGAACTTCTATTTACCTGAGGTATTGCTCCAGTATTAAACTGCTGGAAGTTTTTGGTATATCTGCAATATGTTAGAGAATTTATGGATGCTCTTGTCTCTCTCTTCTGGTCATATCGAGTTTCTCCTTTGGATATCGAGGCCAGCGGTCTTCGTGTTTACGTAAATATATGAATCTGACACAGCTACTGGAATGAAAAGTGTAAGTTATATGGTTTGATAAATTTACATTTAATTTCTATCAACATTTTGTACATATATTGTTTAACTAATTTATAAAGTTGAAGAATGTAATTTATCAAAACATATCAAACCTCCTCTCTGTAAACCCTCTGTGTGGTAACACACTGCCATGTTTCTACTGCTCGCTGAGTCACGGCAGGCTGTCAGAACTAAGGGCACAAAGCCTGTCACACACGCGCTTAAGTTGATGCAAACGACGAAGGCGAACATCGTAATATAAACTAGCTGGGGTGCTGTCCATCACGAGATTACGTTGGTATGTTTGGTCGAGCGTCCACGGTCAATGCTCTTAACATGATTTGTGAACCTCAGTCGAACAGGTGGCGAAAGTGTTCTCAGCGGCAACTCATCAGCGTGTCTGGGACCATTTCACAAAACCTCAGAGAAAAAACATTGAAACCTGGCAAAAAATGACACAGGTGTGTACACAGCTACAAATAACCTCAAACGTTACAGCAAATTGCGCTTTCTGATGCAAATTAAAAACTTTTGTTGTTCCCAAATATGTTACTTTGTTCATGAAACAACATAATCTTCTGTTTTCGATATTTGTTGTTAGTATATTTTTAGGCTAGTAAGCATGCATTTACTGTGGGCATGAATCCAGTATCTTAAATTTTTTTAATGATTATTTTAATAACATTGAAAATACTTTATGTATTGCTATAAACTAATATTTCAGGTTTAAAACATATTATAACTAGACATTACTGGTAGAGTTTAGATATTTTAAATGTACACTTAAAACTCAACATTTTATCAATCAAATAAGACAATTATGTTTTACATTATCTCAATTTAATTTTTAAACAGCAGGGAAACTGAAAATTGTATATATCTCCAAGCATTTCGAAGCAATGCATAAATGACGAGGCATTGATTTGAAATTACTAAAAAGCAAAAATGACAAACATTTTATTTTATTTTAATTTATGAGCTAGTAATATACAATAGTAGTATATTATTTATTCTAATTTATAATCTACACCATGTTTGGTAACTGGTAAGTATGCTTATGTTACGATTGCCATATTGGAAGCAGTTTATAGCGGGTCTGCAGATATCGACAAACCCAGGTAATAATGGACAAAGGAAAGTTGAACAGGTATTATAAAATAAAATAGTATGAAGACCTTAAAGTATAAGGATACTTTTTTATTTGTTTTAAGTTGTTTCCAAAAAAATATTTAGAACTGTATTAAATATTATTTTTGAAGAAATAATAATGTTTTAATTTTTTTAAATATTTTTAGGAGTTCAATAACTTGAAAGAGGAATTCAATGAAAAGTTCCAGACTGAAGATATGGAGTACAATGGAATGTGCTATAATAGGATCTCAGATAATAATAGTGAGGAAATTCAAGAGTTAAAGGTAACAGTATATTACATAGTACCTACAATTTATTTTGTTATTATTTATTACCTCTATTAAGTTTCTCTTATAATCTAGTTCTCGACTAAAGCGTTCAGCTATCAAATCTAATTATCTTTTAATTTATTTCAGAGAGAAAATGAAAGTCTTCAGTTTCAACTAGAAGCATATAAAAATGAAGTTGATGTTATAAAGATGGACGCTCAGAAGGAAATGGAGAAATTCAAAGCTCAGTTCATAGCGAGACAAGCACTGCAGAATGCTATGGACATCGTCGATGTATGTTTATATTCACACATAACACATATTCAGTAATTTTTATTATTTGCCAGTTGTTATGCGAGTGACAGCTAGTTTCTTGTTCAATTTTTTTAAAATTATTGTGATATTTATCATTGTTTGTTTTTTAGCAACCACCGTTACCGGCTCCAATAATAAAGCCGCCCCCGCCGCCCTCCTTGCCAGACGACGGCGACACTAAAGTTCATTTAAAAGGAAGTATAGAAGCGGGTTGTGGTGAAGCTAAACTTATTGGAGTTATGTCTGCATTTTTACAGGTAATACTTTGTTTTTGGAACAATTTTTCGTTTATATATTTAATTTTTTTTTAAATGACAATAAATCTGGACTGTTAATTTCTTTAGTAAGTATATGCAAAATATAAATTCTTTGTCATTTGCTTTAGGCGTTTCAAAAAAAAAATAGTGACGAAGGATCAAGCGGCCACATGATTTTTAACGTTGGTTTGTTTAAATGAAATAAAATATTTTTTCAGGTGCATCCACAAGGCGCCAGTTTGGATTACGTAGTGTCGTACGTCCGCGCGCTGTTCCCCGAAGTATCGCAAGCATCAGTGCATCACGTGCTGCAAAAACACGAGGACGTCTTCCAGCGCACGACCAGCGGTGTAGGCGCTAATATAGAACATAGATGGTCTTTTGTCGCCTTCAAATGCAGAAAGTGAAGGAAAAAAAAGTTATTGAAAAAGGCAGCTAGTATGTATGTAAAAATGAACTTTTAATATACTGCGTTATTGCAGTGAAAGAGATTAGTAGTGTGTCTCAAATAATAAAAAAAATATCGATCAAATTGAGATTATATACTGAAATCATTGTTACGTGTTATTTCACTAAGGTTAATAACTTAGAGTTTAAAGTTGACGAGAAAGAAGTTAATATACAGATTTTCACACAAAAACCTGTTTCATTGTCTGTATTTTTCATATGCTTGAATCACACAAGTTGACGAAACTAATCTTGGTCCTTTGAGTCGGACGTATATTATTTTTTTATTATAGTTTTATTGATTTTTACGCTGTGCTAATAGATCATTGACTATTTGTTGGTAATCAGCGGAGGCTTCCTCCAGGTCTCTGTCGTTAGCGGTGAGGTCGGTCTCCGAGACCTGAGCCTGACCGCCGTCACGGTCTTGTCGCATTTTCAATCTCAATTCTCGCATACGAGCTTCCAAAATACGCTCACGTTTATTCTCCCTTTCTAAAATCTGAAATATCACATATTTAAATATGTAAAATATGTTTCCACTGTATATGAACAATGTAAGCAACGAAACTTAATAGATATAATTTAATTAACTTTATATATATATAGATATATAAATTTAATACTTACGTGAGTGAGCAGTTGTTTGTCGTTTTTATCCGCGGTTCCAAGATTTTGTGATAGCTCCGCTAAGTAAATAGTTCCTTTGCTGCTACCACATGCCACTAACAAACCCTGAGATAACGTAACACAACAACCGTGGGTTTTCGAGGCCAAAATCCGTCTAAAACATATAGCTATCTCTGTTTTGTCAAAGATAATGACCAGGATGGCCATATGTTTTATGTGGAGATTTTGGTTTCAGAAACCAACGGTAAGTGGCATTGTATAACTGAAAAAATTACTAGTAATCACGTTCTTATGTGCTGCCTATTATGAAGTATATGCTTAAATACTTACTCCTTCGTGTGGACGCAATCGTAACAAAGGTTCGTCACAGAGTTGCGCGGTCACAATGGGCGCGCTGCGTCTTCTTAACAAGTCCCAACAAGAAAGGCAACCATCCCATTGCGTTACCAGTAAAAGTGAAAATCTGAAATAATTTACGAACAAATAACTTTCTACTTTTTTACAAAAAAAAGATTTTATTATGTTTTTCTGCTTTTTACTTTTAAAATTTGCGGTTAATTCGTTTGTATATGATTTTATTATCTATAACTGTGTACCTTATAGGATTCCATGCTCCATCCGTTAGTTTAGTCTTATGTGAATGTGTCCAAAGTATGGAGGATTCTCTACAATCTTCGCTCCACACGCGAGCTGTCCAGTCGCCAACTGTCAGAAAGTTCTTCAAGAACGTCGGGTTCCTCTGTAGCGCGTATACTGGTCCGAAATGGGCTTCGTACTATTAAAAGGAAAATAAAACATGTGAATTAAAATAGTGTTAAACTATTTAACACAGTTCTGTATTGTAGTAACTTACTTTAGAAGGCAATTTTTCTAAAGGTGTTTTGCCTTTTCGATTTGCTCCAATCACCAATCCAGTTTCAGTACCTACCATAAATCTGTAAACGATACATGTATTTGAATAGTTGTTTTAAAAATAACATAGCACTGAAAAATACATTTTTTTTCTTCTACCTTGTCGGTATAGTAGGTTCATACTCAAGCGCCGATATTCCTAAAGCCTTTTCCATGCTTTGTGTATCGTTAGGCAACTTAACTATATCGATTATCATGGAATCTGTAGGTTCATTCATATTACGAGTATCCCACCTGAAAATTAATAAAAAATATGCCATAGTTGTATAACAGAAATTTTTTTTAATAAAAAAAAATATTTACCACTTGACAACACCATCTGGAGACGAAGAGAAGAATTCAGCCCCTGTTTTCGAGTTGATGAACAAAACGTTCCTCACGAGATCTCTGTGAGCCACGTGCGGTGGACAGATACCTACAGGGTCGCCACCTTTACGAACATCCCACCAACCAACCTGAAACATTTGACAAAACAAAATTCAGACTTTTTAATATCTAATTATAAGTGAATTTTAATGTAAACCCACCTGACCATTCAGCATACCACCGACAAGCGTATGCTGATCGCGAGGATTGTACTGCAAGTCCAATAACGGCTGAGGTGGTTTTATCGTTAACTCAGGGGCGTTTGCATTATCTGTTAAAATGTGAAAAGACGGATAAAACGCTTGGAATGTGAAACATTTAGTATAACCCTTAGCGATGATTATTCTAACATTTTTGAAGTTAGATAAAGAGATTACTAGACACAGCAATTGCTGATCAAGAGAGTGAGTGCTTAAGTGTGTAAAGAAAAAAACACCTATGTCCCATATGTAAGAGAATTGCAGTGATCTAGTGTTGAGTACTTCGAGGTCTGCATGCGCGGCCGCGAGTCTTGCGCCCCCGTCCGCCTGCCATGACAGCGAACGTACAGGACGGCGCGCGCCCGGCTCCCGGTACACGTTCACCGTGTGACAGCTGCTCCTTTCCACCGGCGGTATTGACGTCAATTCCGAATAATATATCTGATACATATCTACCGCATTGTTTTGTAATATGTTGTGCTCCATACTCTAAAAATATTTCGAGATTTTCGATAAACCTACGTGTAATAAAAACAACGTATTATTAGCTGCGGTCTTATTGTAATGTTTACTAACATGTCCGAGATGCATAACAGCATGAATGTAAGCGTCATCCTTTTCTATCTTACGCCGATACCGTTGTGTGGCTTCAGGGTCATTCATGTTTATATCCTTAGGCCAGCCACCTTCGACGTGGTTTATACCTGAACTTGTATACTCCGCTCTAAAAGTTACCAAGATTACAAAGTATTCATAAAATAAAGTTCATTTGTAATGAGTTAATTTTAAGACTATTAACAATTTTTCAATTTTTTGTTATTTCTCCTTCCGTCAACTCTTTATAAAATCAAGATTTTAAATTAGGGATTTATATCTGTCACCTGTGACTCCGTCCGCGCGAATATTAAAAAAAACTTAGTAACATACGTGTTCTTCCAGACTAAGTTCTACATCTGTGCCAAAGTTCATCAAGATCTTTTTAGCTATTCCGAAATCTTCTACCAAACCATACTTCCATGTATCTATACTTTCCCATTTATTATATTAGTAAGAATACAATTATCACATACAAATACCTTACCTTGTTGAATTTACCCAGTGTTCGGACATATTTGGAGCATTTTGTATGGCGACATGTACAGGATTGCGTAGTATATAATTTTTATACTGATTAGGATTGCAGGGAATACTGACACACATTTCAGGGCCAAAATCTTCGAATAGAGTTTGTTTTCCAAACTCTTTCCTCTTCTTTGTATATTCATATGTGATTTCATTTTTTTCAGGTTTCTCCATAATTTTCGGTGATATTTAATCAATACCGTTGCTATTGTGGAACTACGGTTATGTTTCTAACTCATTTTGTTCTGATCATTGAACTGAGTTGCATGAATAGAATAAAAATGCATGTGTTTTTGTGAAATCTAAATTTAGTTTCATTTAAAGAATGTATCTTTAAAAATTAATAAGGGAACAAGGAAAGTAGCTTAGAAAAGGAGCAATAAAATAACTTTAGAAAGTCATTTCTTTATATTGTTTGGACAAAATCGAAAAGATTATCGACATTGGCCTACATTAGAACTTATGAATAAATTTATTAAAGACTTAATGAATGGCAACATTATAATTAATAAAGTGATATGGGGTCGGCAGGGTTGGCTCTGCGCAGAGAGAGTACGATGAGGCGCGGAGGTGTGGCGGCAAGCTTGGCGCAGCACTGCTCCAGCAGCAGACGCCAGCGGACAGCTGCCCGTTCTTCGGATGACATCGCTTTTATCTGTTGTGCCTATAAAAGGGCCGTTCGACTTTACTGAACCCACTGCCCTCTATAGGTATATGGACAGGCTACAAGCCGTGGTGTTTTGTGCCTATTTTATTTTCGCCATTTTGGATCTGACGATAGCAGTTGGATATAGTTAACGGTAGCATTGAAGTCGAAACGAAGTAAAAGCGTTCATTTTGTAGGAAAGTTTGGTTTCACAGTACTCACCGAGTAACCAAACGTGTTCTGCAAAATGTTTGTCGGAAGACGAGCTGTCAGTTCCCCGGTGTAATCGGCGAAGCGCACTCTTAATTCTTCCGAGTTATTGTCCCTGAATCGTTACGATTGACGAAAATTTTAAATTATACAAAATTCACTTTACATAGAGTATAGAATAAAGCCATATAAGAGTATACAATAAAGCTGACACATTTACATACGTACGAATAACGAGTTATATTCTTTCCATGTATGTCTAGTAAAAAACCGGTGACGTCTAGAATATACGTGTAACCTTCGGCCGACAGTTCAGTATATTATTATTTTTAAGGCATTTTTGAAACGACAATACATAGAGTAAATTAAATTACGTAGAATTAATCAGATCGTCTAGGTCGAGATGCGTGAGCAGGGCATGAAGCGAGGCGCAAAAGGGCGCGCCGTCTGCAAGGCGGTCGCGCACCTGCGCCACGGACGCAGCGCTCGAGCGCTGTCCGCTCCACTCCGCCCAAGCGGCAGCCTCGCCACCCGCTGAAATTATTTATATGCAGGTTTCTGTTTCACTCTAAGTTATGCAATAATTTTAAACGACGCACTAAAAACCATCCAATCAAAATAAAGAAAAACAATATCATGAAGTCCGATTGCAATTCCCCTCCGAAAACAGTTATTTATCGTATTGTATGAAGTAGCTGTATCATGTACCAGCTTGGTTTTGTATGTAGAGTCTGAGGGCCTCTGCATCGGAGGTGTGCGGCTGGTGTGTGACGACGCTGCGCCCGCACACCTGCGCCCGCGCACCGCGACCGCGCCACGTAACCCGCGCATCCGCGATAAACAACACGCTTCCCAATGGACGCCATTCCTCCGCCCTAGTACATTTTTAAAAGCAAAAACAGTAGTAGTGGTCATCGATTGCACTTATAGCAAGGATTTATGTAGCCGACATCAATTTGTCATATGCGTTATAGGAGGGATGAAAGTTAAATATGTTGTCCTTGTCAGATCATACGAGCAGTGTATTTTAATTTCAGTTTAATCCACTCCGAGAACGTGCTTTTTAAAACATAAAATACACAGAATTCCTTAATGACACAACATTTCACCTTTGAATAGTATCGGTATCAAACATGTCCAAATAGAGAGAAGCGGGCGTCGTGTTGTCCACTATTTCTACGGCACGTACCGGCATTTCCACGCCTAATGCAATACATTTATGTTACTAAAGTGGCAATAGAATTATGAAATAATAAGATTTAATAAAAATAGGCAAAAAATTATACCAAGTTTAGTTTTTATCATCTTCACAGGTTGTACAGATTTTACCACAACTAACAAGTCTACATAAATATTCCCGTTTTCTTCTGTAATTAAAAGTACTTTGGATTAATAAAAACAACTTTTCCACTTCTCTAAGTAGTCTAAAAGAATCAAAAAGAAATATTTACCAGTAAATTTCATTACTTCAGCGAGGCCACAGTAGCCCGCTGATGATTTGCTCGGAACATGAAGCAACGGTAAATACGCACCATATGTATCGCCACTGAAAGTGCTAACGTCGGAGGATCCTTCGTTGATAGATAGGTAAAAAGGAGAAGATACCTCAAGGAAAAAATTAAATGTATATAAAAAATCGTTTTCTCCTATACTAAAATCTCAGACGTAAGTATATTTGATGAAAAAGATATACGGATTGAAATAACAGATTGTGGCACTTAAAATTTTTGTGTTAGGTTAACAAACTTCTTTTACGATATAATAAGTTACAATTTATATGAATATAGTAATATGAATACGTATTATAAAAGAGAATATTTACCTGCGGTCTAAAGGTTTCATTTGCCCCACTTTTGACGCATATTTTTGGCGAATGAATTTCAACTGCAACAAACTTTCGACTCAACAATAATATATAAATAAAAAAGGAATACTTTGAAATTGTTAACGATATATTACCGACATCTCCTACAATGAATCTATTATAAATAGTCATTACAAAGTAATCTGAACCCCACACATCTACATTTATGGTATCAATTTGGGAATCCCTTATAGTAAAAGACATCACACCCCTTGATTCGCTACTTTTCTTTTTGGGACCAAAGGTTCTTGGACAATTTTTAGCTATGATTATGCCCATCACTAAAGCATTCTTAATGTTAATGTTTAAACTATTTAAACGAACTTTTTGTACTCCCGTCATGGTAAGAAATCGAAAACTACACAGTATGATAAGAAGAAAAAATAACTTAGATTCCCGCCAATTTAGATGTTTTTATGCCGTGGAATGCCACAAGCTAAAGAATGTATTCGATATTATTATTTGTCATTAAAGCTATATCCTAATTAAAAAATGGAACTAAGTGTGTTTGTTTTGCAGTAAGTACCTATTTGATAATATTAGAAGATATTTATAAATAAGAACAAGAATATTAAGTAAAAGTTTTTTGATGCTGACAGACATATGTATTGCATTTTTTGCATAACGGGGCGGATATGATAACGACATGTCAATGTCAAAAAATAGCGGCAACCGACATCCGTCAACGATAAAGAAATTACAAATCGAATAGAAATAAAAAATAAGTCAATTGAAATATTTATTATAAAGTTACTTTCATCATGTTGTTTAAACCTAAACCAGATTCTAACAAACAAGATCAATTCTCTCGATCCGATTTAGAGAGACAAAACTTAAAATACACGGATTGTTCAAAACGGTTTTATCAAGTATCCCGCGACTTTTCCAAACAGTATGCTCATATATATTCTGCAAGACTGAATACTTTCAGAAATATTTTAGGGCCAATAATTAATAAGAAGTGGTCAAATAAATATAAGGTTTTAAAATTGTGTGATTTACGTGAGAAAGGCGCCCAGTGTGTAATCATTGGAACACTTTTCAAACTACAACAACTAAAGCCCAGCATTTTGAAAGAACTCTCAGATCAGTTAGAGATTATTCCTCAACCTACAAGGTTCTTCATATTTAAATAGTCTTTTCATTACTCTTATTAGGACATGCATGTTATGTGTGAAAATATTTCTTTCAGAACTCATTTTGTTCATGACTCAGATAGTCTTGTTTTAGAAGATGAACTTCAAAGGATCAAATTATCTAATAATTGTATTGATGTACATGAGGTGGTTACTGGTGTAGTTGTTGCAATACTAGGTTAGTGCACAATAATTCATAGTTTTATAATTTTATGAAAATGTATAATATACATATGAAGTAATGCCTACTTTCAGGGTCTGAAGATGAAGATGGGATTTTTACAATCAAAGATATTTGTTGGCCAGAATGCAATATACAAAAGCCTTTACCAAAGCTTAATAGTGACAGGTAATATTTTTGTGTGCATGATGTCCTTTTGTTCTTGATCATGCAATTGTTTAAATGTTGAAGGTAACATGGCTGATGCATGCGGGCATATTATTGGCTAACTTTTTCTGCACTCTTGATGTTGTATGCAATTGTCTGCTTACCATTATATAATTATGGAAAGGAACTTATAGGGTTCATGTTGCAGATATGTTGTACTAATGTCTGGTCTCAATATGGCATCTAAATCAGCTGAACATTTATTTTCACTGAATCTATTCATTGAATGGATATCTGGATTTTGTGGTACAACAGAATATCAAGAAGAAATCTCTAAGATTGTAAGAGTTATTATAGCAGGTAAACCTGATGTTTTTACTGTGATTTGAAATGATATTAATGTAATAAATTTATAATTATTTATTTGTAGGTGGCGTCTTTGCAAATCATTCAAATGAAGCAACATTAAATGAATCAGATGTTATTGCATCTGCCGATTCAGTTGATGCTTTTTCTGCAGCTTTAAGTGCAGTAGCTCCGGTTGATTTAATGCCTGGATGCAAAGATCCTTCAGGTATTATGTTACCTCAGAAGCCGTTCCACTATTGTAAGTTAATAATGCATAAAATTTATTGGATTATAGCTATTTGTAATGCACTCATAACATGATTTATTTCAGGTCTGTTCCCAAAAGCTGTGGAGTATAAATCATTTAACCGAGTATCTAATCCATATGAATGTGATATTGGGGGTAAATATCTTTTTCTCAGATATGTTCATCATCTCACTATATGACCCCACTTAGGGGTGCAGAGCCTACCTAAGTTAAAAAGTATAGAAGTATATATAATAAATACTCAAAATTATGATGAACTGCAATGCTTTTTTCCAGGTTTCTTGTGTTTGGGTTCATCTGGGGAACCACTTAAAGATATAATGAAATACAGCAGACTTGATGATGAATTAGAAATTATGAGAAGGACATTACAGTGGCGCCATCTTGCACCTACATGTCCTGATACTGTCCCTTGTACACCTTGCATAGAAACTGATCCATTTACTATTTACAACTGCCCTGCAATCTATTTTAGTGGCAATTGTAGAGAATTTGCTACAGATTTACAAAAAGGTAAAACAACTATAGTTATCATTTATTCTGAAATTAAAACATTTACAAACACCAATAATATCTTCTTTTAGGAGCTGATGGCCAAGTTACAAGAATAGTGTGCATTCCGGATTTTTGTGATCAAAAAACTATTGCGATTGTTAATTTAGCTAATCTAGATTGTCACAGTATGAGTTTTTCTTAGTACTTGAAATAAATGTAAATGATGTAATTGATTTTTAATATTATACTGATTTTATATTATTGGCCTGGTATGGTCTAACTAGATAATGTTTATATTTTGCCAGTTGCATGTTTAATGTAAATAAGGCATTACCTTTGTAATAAAGTAATAACAAGAAAAACACTTTTTAATTATATGCCTTTTATTTTTATGCAATATTGTGCTAAATATTAAATGCATCTTCGATATCAAACAGTGCTTTATAGAATTTAGGATAGTTTTAGTGTCGTGTATCGACATTAAAGTAGCTATTATGATTTAGGAAATAATGTGTCTTGCTAAAGATACATCGGAAGCTTATTATTTCTTTCATTAGTCTCAGAATCAGGAACAGTTGTAGCAGTAGGCTCTTGATTTTGTAATCCATTATTGGTTTGATAGCCGCAGAACATGGTAATTGCCACAAAATTGGTAACACTGCCACAATTTTTATACCGTCAAAAATCAACTCGATGCTATTAAAATCGATTTTGTTATTTTGGTTTAAATGTTTGTTCTATTTAATAACTGTTCACACTCACATACTAAAAATTTATCTATTTTTCAGTTTTCAACAATAATTAAATTTTGCTTATTAAATATGAACACAGACGAAATTTGAAACATCGATATCATCCCGATGTTTGACTAAATCGAGTCATCCGTCAGTTGACAGCATAACTTTACGTCCAAGCGCCGTTGCCTATGCTTTGCCTATTACTCATCATGCTTCGAAGTTAAAAAGACGTGTTATTTGTTTTATCTTGTGCTATTATTTGCGTTAAGATGGGTTTCTAAGCTCTTAAAAACTTTTGCACACCACCGTGTGCCTTCACATCGTTATAAAAATGCTGTAAGTTACATTCTTAGTTTTTTTTTAATTCTATTTCATAACTAATTATGCTCTGAGACCATTGCATTCCATCGCTTATAACTTTCACCACTTGGGTGTAATCATCAGCGTTAACGTGCGTAGTATTTATTCTAGGAAAAGCGTACAGTGTTTATTGACAAGTGTGGAAAACGCGCAGGTATAAAATGGCGCGGAATTGTTATTTTCCTCTTTCCCTTCCTATATTAAAATTAGTTATAGTTAAAAACATAGCAATTTCACTGTATAGGGTAAAACGTTAATTCTTTCCTAGTAGAACTTTTTTTGAAAACTAATTTTTATACTTAAAAATTAGTTCCCAAAAAAAACCAATACTGAAAGCTTTAAATACATAATATGTTCAAATATTCTATGAATTGGCTGATTTTATGCACAACAATGTTAATTGCTATTTGCTGAAACATAAACTTGTTTACAAACACTCCACGAATTTAAAATATTTTGGAATTTATGTCCTTAACCAAAAAATTTGCAGTTTATATATTGTAATAATTTGGCTTTAAAGTGGGATGAATTGCTTAAGTGATAATAGGTAGGTAGGTATTGACTGCTCTCTGTCAACAATGGATTAATTTGGTTTAACACATTCCACAGACATTTTATGAGAAACAAATAATAATTTGTGCATGTCAATTCAAGAAAAACTATTATTTGATAAGGCTATTGTAACAACCCTATGTCACAACTATGTACAGTCAGCGTCATATAGATCGTAACAGACAAGATATGCAAATATATAGGTACATCAAAAGTAATCAATTATATCGGTACAACAAAAGTCCTCAAAATAATAGATACATTCACCCTGCTCAAATACATCGGTACATACAGAGCGTCAAATATATGAGTACATGCAAGATGCCCATAAATATCGTAGCAGCCACAGCGTCATAAGTAACGAAGCAGTCAGGGTGCGCAAAAATATCGGTACATTTGACAAAATTGAACTCTATCTCCATATACTTGTGATACAATTTGGAATAAACTACTTCTGTTACATTCATTTGACACTTTGCATCAAACCATTTTTCAAAATTTACTAAAAGTGTTCGACGCGGATGACAGATTAGGTAGATAAAACCAACATCAAATTTAAGTTTGTCATCATATATGCTAGTTTGGTCTCGTGGCCTTACCGTTCGCCGCCGTTGGTACGTAAAGTCGGCGGTTCAAATCCCAAGCCACTATTTTTTTTTGATATTTAAACTTTTTAATTTTAATATCGAAGCACATGTAATTAAACTCTATCGCCGTAGTTATTAGGTACTTTTTGATATTGCCTTGGACTAATGAGTTTGACCGTTAAAGTACTTTTCTATTTCAAACAAAAATGAAGGAGATAAAGCGATGCTATTGGCTTGTAATTTGTTTATTACTCATGTTTGTTAAACTTGTACCGGTAAAAATAACAATTTTACTTTTACCTTTTACTGATACTGATTATATTTAAGAAACGAAGAAAAAAAAATGAATGTCAATATCCAAACTACATCAAATTTTTGGTCGATTGCAATAAACATTCCAGTGTGCATGGGCGCGCACACATATGTAGATAACACTTGTACGTATAGTTTCCGCGCATACCATTCATAAAACCCGCAAAGACAATCCACGCTCCGCCCACTCACTTCACCCGCGATTGTCTGACCTAATTGTTGTTAACTTTATTTAAATTTCTTTCTACCCTACAGCGAAAATTATAAAAAAAAAAATTGTCGAGCAAAATTTTACATTACCAAATTTTTACTGGTTATGAAAAAATAACCCCGTGATTGATAAAATGAAAAAAAAAGCAGTCTGAGATTCGAACCGGTAAACTTACATATTACGGCAAACATACTAGAATACTGCGCCAAACTAGTATTATATATATATTGTGACAAGGCAAAATTTGATATTAGTTATTACGTATCATGTCATATTCGGCGTGACAAACTTTTATATTTAAGCGTTATGACAGGAGAAGAAAAATATTGGGTTGCCCAGTAAGTTCGTGCCGCTTTATAAGGAAAATTGAAACCCTGTTCTCTTAAATTTTTGGAAATGTTTTTAAATGATATTGGTACGACTCTATACCTAAAACGTCTTTTATTATTGGATAAAATTTTAAAAATTAGTTTTTATTTCAACCAATGAAATGAAATTATTCACAATATAGAAATTTTTGTGACGTTTGATAATGGTGGAAATCCGAAAATGAATCCACATCAGCTACAGTCTATTGTAAGCTTCATATCGAAAATCAGAACGAACTTTCCGGACAACCTATAATGTTAATACAAAGTGTCAAATGAATGTAACAGAAGTAGTTTATTCCAAATTGTATCACAAGTATATAGAGATAGAGTTCAATTTTGTCAAATGTACCGATATTTTTGCACACCTTGACTGCTTCGTTACTTATGACGCTGTGGCTGCTACGATATTTATGGGCACCTTGCATGTACTCATATATTTGACGCTGTGTATGTACCGATGTTTTTGAGCAGGGTGAATGTATCTATTATTTTGAGGACTTTTGTTGTACCGATATAATTGATTACTTTTGGTGTACCTATATATTTGCATATCTTGTCTGTGACGATCTATATGACGCTGACTGTACATTACATAACTCTTGTTGCAACCTGTATTGAGTTTACTTTCTAAAACTCTAAATGTTACATTGTGTTGTACAATCAGTTGATTAATTTGTAATATAAATTAGCTCTATAGTGCTATAGCACTAAGATAATCTAACAATATTTTTGTCTGACATTAAAGTCCTTTGTTGACAGAGAAACATTTGAGAGTACTAAATTTTGTTCTCAAGCTTCATTTAAATGCAAAAATATTGAATATTTTATTTATTTAGTTTCGATTCCAAATCACCTACTTAAAAATAAGGTTACTGTCAAGTTATAAGTACTAGGCTGGTTTTAAAAAATGTCATAAATTGTTAATGCAGCATCTATAATATGTTTAAAGATTTGATTTTTTGGCTTGCTATGTTGGTTCACCTGTCAATCAATAGATAGATTATGATTTACACCTACAAACTTTTAAGATTGTTTATAATATTAGTGATTGCATGTGTCAGTTTATTACAATAATTAATTTTTGCTACTCTAACAATTTTGCCATGTCATTGTTTGAAATAAGAAACCTTCCCTGCTCATGTAACAAGTAGTGTTTGCGAAATAACCATTGTTTAAAAATGGTTATTTAAATTTGTGTCTTGTAATAAATTATTTTTTGCCTATTAAGAAAAAAATGTTTGTGATAGGTGGTATTCAATATTTGTTAATATAAAGGTGATATCAGTGATAACCTTACAATCAAGGAAGTAAATAGATGGGCAAAATGTTATAAATAAATTGACAATGATTATTTGAGATTATGTTTATGGTCCTCTTTACAAATTAAATACATATATTATAGATTCCATAAATAATTAAAGAAACTATTTGCTATGAAGACAGGATGATAGTATGATAAAAAGATTATAGTTTTGGTTTTTCTACTTAAGACATTTTATTAGAGATCAAACCATGGTTACTAACAGGGATTTTGCTGTGTTGGTAATTTGTATTGCTTCATTTGATGTTAATATCTGTTAATTATGTCTTGTTGTTTCCCTACTCCGAGCTATAGTAATTAGTTACTGTGAAGAATTATTAGAAGAATGTATGAATAGAACAAATAATATTTCCAAGGGAAAAACATGAGTTTATCTTGAATTAATAGAGGTAGGATAATCAGAATACAGATGATCATAGGAATACAAAAAAAATCTTTTTTATCAACTCATAGATTAGAACCTTTACATATTGAGTGCTACCACAAATATCATGGTTGAAGTGAAAATAGTGACACTCGAGGTGTTAAGTTCCAGGGTACTTTGACGATCAGTGTAGGTCTACTTGATTAGGATATCAGAAAAAAACAGTTCCTTGATTTAAGCTTAGTTGCAATCTTTACGTTTTCATCCTGTCCTAAAAAGGACAGGATGGGAAAGGAGAATTGGTTTCGATAAGGGAAAGTAACGATAAATATCCTCTTCCCGTACATCTCTTTCCCTGTCCATTTAAGGTATGCAATGCATCAACTACTACTCACTGGAGGAGTCTATGGGCAAAGGTCGCTTTGTATTTATAGCGAATACAATTGGCTACATGACTTTTTGTCACCTTATACTATAAAAAAAATGATTTTGTTAATGTTATTAACCCTTATTTTCTTCCCTTTTTCAG